CACATTATTTTATTATCTTGATGAGCAGAAAGACACTATGGCAACCACCCATACTGCCACCAGTTACGCCAGGGCCAATAGTGGGTAGGAGACTGAGCCAAAGCAGTGTAGGCTAAAGCAATGCTATACTCACTTGGACGTTAGCGAGACCACATAGGAATCTGTCCCATAAATGGTGGAAGACTTGTTGTTCTTTGTATTTGCTAAACGAACCTAAGAAAGAGAATCTGATCAATGTTGCTTCTGTCTGCAAAATGCCCAGTGTAACATCCCCATAGATTTCCCAGTCCATGACAGGCACCAGCAATCACAGGAAGCTCATTGCATTCTGGTAGTTTGAAGAAGAAATGGAAAAGTTGGGAGTACATTTCCACATTTCTAGAAAGGCTTGGGAAAAGAACCAAATGACCAGCAGAGCCTTCAAGGACTAACTGGAAACCAGAACAAAAAAAGGCACTCATTTAATTCCATGCCCAGTGCCACATAGTAATGGCTCTTACACTACAGCCCGGGTGCTTGCAAGCCCTGGCAGCTCCTTCATAGAAAAGAAAATCAGTCAAATAACAAGTTTCTCTACCTTTCCTTCAGCAAGACCAAAGACAATGATATTCTCCGCTGGCCACGATAAGCAGGTCACAGCACTCTGCCAAGGAGGAGGTAAAAAGAGAGATAAGAGCTCCACTCTACTTAGTTTCTTGCCCCATTGCTACATAAGACAGCTCAGGAACAGTAAGACCACTCACACCAAAAAAGACCTTTTTGGACAGACCTTAAAGTAGGATCAAGGTCTTCCACGCTGAAGCTTAAATTGGATAATAGTGAGCTGAGGGGAAGGAACAGGTTCAAAGGGCTAAAGCAGTGCATCAGAGTTATACCAAATGTGTTCAGTATGGATGCTCTTGTTGGAGAATTACTTATTGGTGAGATGTGCGGCTATTTTAAAAGATGATTTATTTTTTCCAACAAAATGTATAAAATGAAAATAATTTGATTCTGCCAGCTTCTGTGATAGATATGAGAATACTGGTACATTGGACCTTCATCTGATGAATCAGAAACAGCCTCTTTCTAATTTACGAGCAAGATGGTTATCAGATGCTACCAAGTAGGTCAGGTAGAAGCAGGTTTATTAAATCCAAACCAAAGGTATTGTCAAAATGGTGGGGGTCAGGATAAATAAAGCTGATCACAAAACCCAACTGTAACAGAGGGCCAAGAGAGTTAATGAAACCACATTTGAACTGAAGAATTTCAGTCAATAAGAAGGCTGGTGTTTGGAACTATGCCACTAGCACTAGCTTCACTGGCTCATCTGCTCATTTTTAAGTATCTGGGCCTGCTTTAGACATATATACACCCTCATTTATTCATCTCACTTTGTATCCTGCACTCTTACCACTCACATCAGCAAACACAGCTACAAGCAGACACCAAAATGTCTCTGGATAACTAAGCTGCTCATAATTTCTATATCCAACCAATGATCAAGACTCATTTTTTATTACCCCCGTTTCCCACACATCCATGTATTTCATAAAATCACAGAACAGTTAGGCTGGAAAGGACCTTAAGATCATCAAGTTCCAACCCCCCTGCCATGGGCAGGGACACCTCACACTACACCAGGTCACCCAAGGCTCTGTCCAACCTGGCCTTGACCACCGTCAGGGATGGAGCATTCCCAGCTTCCCTGGGCAACCCATTCCAGTGCCTCACCACCTTTACAGTAAAGAACTTCTTCCTTATATCCAAACTAAACTTCCCGTTTAAGTTTTAACCCATTACCCCTTGTCCTATCACTACAGTCCCCAGCATCTTTATAGGATGCTTCCCTCCTTATCTGCCAGACTCGTATTTTCAATCTATCACAACCACAAGCAGCCCAGTAGCTTAGAAACAGCCTCACAAAGTGGTAATGCACTCAGCTACTAGTTCATAGAAGTCAAATTTGTACATACTCATCCTGACCCTGGTTTGCCAGCAAGCTGAATAGTGAGACTGTATTTGTAAGATGTGGAAGAATGCTTAACAGGTTATTAAAATGGCAGAAGAGGGAAAGGTCTCAATGATCTCTCATATTGACTGAACACATAAAAAATTTGTTAATAACAGTATTTAGTTACAGGAGAAAACTGGACACTGGCAAAAAAACCCCACACATATAGCATTAGAAAAAATAAAGGATTTATTGTGATAGAAATGGCAGAGAAGCATGGGGAAAATGAAAGAATGAAAAAGAAATGAATGAATACATTAAAAATACAAAAAACTGGACGCATGCTGTGCACAGCATTTAAGCTTCTGAGAGGCAAGCAGCCTCACACCAGGCTGTTAGCCAGGTACTGCAGCAAAGGAGAGCCTGAGAGGTTGATGCTGCCTTTCATCTGAGAGGCAGCTTGAGAAAGCCTGGCACAGAAACTCCAGCAACTCCCCCAGAAGCAGCTCTACCTCTCTCTTCTGCAGGTTTGGCCCAGGAGGGTGATTCCCCCAAACAGGTACTGGCTACTTCAGGGGCCGACCTAGCAGAAAGCTTCTCTAGCGACACAGAGCAAGTGGGTGTCACAGTGTGATGGCAACTGGGTGGAAAGCCTAGGGCAGCTGCTGGACATTTTCTCCTGAAGGTAAAAGAAGTAAGTCATCGCACCGTGTTTTCTCATACAGATGGCTTTCTATGCAAGGAGTTTATAACACCTTTGCCTTTCATAGATACATCAGCCTCAGGATAACCCTTGTCGCAGATCTAATGAACAGACTGCTCTCTGACGCATGCAGAAAAAGCTAGAGCAGCAGAATGCAAAGAAAGGCAAGGAAATAACCTAACTGAAATTACAAACCTGAGGCCAAACATGCAGAAACTATGCAGTGTGACTGAACTCCACACACTTCATGTTTTGTTTAATAAGGAATTCTGGGGCTTAGAGTTGCCAACCTGTGAAAAACAGTGGGCTCACACTTTCTCCTGTTTTTCCCTTTCAACTTCCTTAAGACATTCTGTCCCCTGGTGCCTAAAGTAGCCCCCAAAGTTTTGTGATTGATTGCATTGATTATTCAACAATTAATTACAGTTTGTACCCAGGCATTAGGAGGCCTCTGAAGCTTGGCAAGTAATACATGCCTCAAAATGCAGAGGTTGTCTTTGGATCTACTAGTATCTTTTGGAGATCAAACACCACTGACAGTTTTGCCAGTGTGAGTGTGAAAAGAGAGGCCTCTAGTTGTCTACCCTACATATGCTGGAGGAAACGGAGTTAAACAGGAGTCTGGATCTCACCGTTTGGATGAACTTGTTGCATATCACCTTCTTGTCACCCCTGCAGAAAAAGGTAGACAAACATTACTATCTGCGAAGGTAGTGATACTGCCCATTCTGGTTACCCTACTGTTGTATTCAGTTTGTTTTACTATTACCAAACACAGCCCATATAAGTTTTATATGTTATTACAAGCCATCTTCTGGCAGAAAATTTCAAAACCCCCCAACTTACGAGCTTCCGAAATTCTGACATGCCTTTAGCACAACACACACCAGCAAATGGGGCTGAAGTAAGGCAGGCATGTGGCACATCTATGGAACAGGGGACAGGCTTTACTCAGAAGCCCACAGAAGTTACAGTATGTGAGAGATTTGAAGGGACCTCAAAAGATCATCTAGTCCAATCCCCCTGCCGGAGCAGGAACACCTAGATAAGGTTACACAGGAACGTGTCCAGGCGGGTTTTGAATGTCTCCAAACAAGGAGATTCCACAACCTCCCTGGGCAGCCTGTTCCAGTGTTCTGTCACCCTCACTGAGAAGAAGTTTCTTCTCAAGTTTAAGTGGAACCTCTTGTGCTCCAATTTGCACCCATTACCCCTTGTCCTTTCATTGTTTGCCACTGAGAAGAGCCTGGCTCCATCCTCGTGACACTCCCCCTTTATATATTTATATACACTAATAAGGTCACCCCTTAATCTCCTCTTCTCCAAACTATAGAGACCCAGCTCCCTCAGTCTTTCCTCATAAGGGAGATGCTCCACTCCCTTAATCATCTTAGTTGCCCTGCGCTGGACTCTCTCCAGCAGGTCCCTGTCCTTTTTATACTGAGGGGCCCAGAACTGGACACAATATTCCAGATGAGGTCTCACCAGGGCAGAAGTTCAGCTGGAGCAAGCTTGCACACAGTTCCACAAGAGCTGTGCTCAAGGAAATCCCACCTGCTGCTGACCACAGAAACATCTAAGTGACTCCCTGCAGGTTAGATGATGAACACCACGATGCGCATTACCCAAGGACCAGGCCAGGACTCTGATGTGCGTTGTATCAACACCCAGAAAGCAACAGTATGGTGGGAAGGAGAGCCTTGCCCCTCCAAGTGGGCACTGGACCCTTCACCGCCAGACTCACCACTCCTCTCCGATCCTGTAGACGTAGACAACGTTGTCTGTTTGCCCAATGGCGATTTTGGTGGAGTCCGGGGAGAAGGCCATGCCTTTGACCACGTAGCTTTTTCTGCCGTACTGTGGGAAGACGGCAGAGTGACCGCAGGGGAAGGCTGCCGCCCACCAAGCGCACTGCCCAGCCCGCAGGAGCTGCAGCAGGCCTCTCCGGGACCTCACCTTGGCGTCCAAGGGCTTGGTGGAGAACTTGTCTCGCCGCTCGCCGTGCTCGTCGTACAGCAGCACCACCCGGTCCGCGGTGCACACGGCGAATCGGGCTCCGCTGGCCGACCAGGCTATACAACTCACCCGCGCGGTCCCGTCCTGCGGGGCACACACACAGCATCAGCAACTCTGCCGGCCGGGGGGCGCTCCCTCCCGTCCCGTCCCGTCCCGTCCCGCTCCCCGCTCCCTGCTCCCGGCCCGGGCCGGCCCGGACAAACCTGCGGGACCAGCAGGGTCCGCTCGTGCCGCAGCTGCATAGTTCCCAGCTCCGGGCCCGGGATCGGGATCGGGGTCGGGGTCGGGACGGGCTTGAGCCGCCGTAGGGACGACTTTGCTCCTCCCCCGTTGCCCCGGCAACCGCAGCGCCTCCGCCGCTGCTGACGTGATGACGTTAGCGAGCCCGCCCGTCCTGACCGGGCCTGGTATCGCCCTGTTAGCAGCTCCGCTATGGAGGCGCTGCGGGCGGCGGGACGTGCTGTGCTGCGGAGTCCGCGCCTCGCCCGGCACGGCCTGGGGCTCCGCCGGCGGCGCAGTGAGTGTGGGAAGCGGGCGAGGGCCGCGGGGGGCATCGCTCCGGGCGCGGAGCCCCCACCTCGGGTCTGGCAGGGCCCGGTCCGCGGCTGGTGCCTGCTGTGGGGAGCGGTGTGGGGTCCGGGGAACGGGCTGTCGCCGTGCCCTGGGCCGCGGGCAGCCGGCGCTGTGGAGCAGGGGGGAGGCGGCTGTGGGGCAGGCGGTGGCAGTGCCTGGGGCCAGGCTGTGGGGCAGTAGGCTGCTGGCCCTGTTCTCCCTGATGCACTCCCCTGGCTGCCAGCCTCTTGCCCCACTTCTGAATCGAGGCCACCCGCACTGGTGGGCTGGTGAGGCAGGCCGTGCTGGTGGTGCTGAAACACGACGTGCCTTATGGGCACCCTCTGGAGGCCTTGGCCTCTGGAGTGCTTGGTCCAGTGCATCGTGGACATGTGTAGTGAGTGCAGCGGGCCTGTATGCATCTCACTGCAGGCTGGCTGCTGCGCTGCCTGTGGCACAGCCAGATCCGAGACTGATCCTTGGGAACCAGTGGGAGGGCTGTGCTTGGGCTTTCCCAGTCACAGCTGCCCAAAGGCTTTGTTGGAGCAGCAGAGTTCACTGGCAGCACTGGCGTGTGTGGGCTGTTCTCAGTTTGCAGGGAAAGGTTGCTCGTCTGCCCTGGGTAAAGGTCCCTGATGCCTGCATGGTACCAGGCAGGTTGCCTAGCAGTTGCCATTTGTGCAGGAGTATGCTGAGGCCAAGTAAGGTCTCTTGATTTCCCTGTGGGTTCAGGTTATTCCAATTATGAGTTGGAGCCTTCTGCAAATGAGCCAGTGGTGTTCAGGGAGCTAATCCCAGGAAAGAGATGAAAAATAACCCTGAGAAATATTAGCTTAGTGTGAACAGTAGGTAACTGGGCAATTCCCGGGGAAGTGTAGGAACACGGTGTTTGCAGCAGAGCATGTAACTTCTGTGCTCCTGTTCCTTCCCTCTGTGGCCTGAATCCCCAAGAAGAGAGAGCCTGTGACTCCATGTCTTGGCCCTTCTGCATATCTCCTCTCTTGCCATCCCTGTGCTCTTTGAGATGTGAAGGAAGTAAGCGTGTGCTAACTTCTGCAACAGTTCTCCTTGAAAACTATCACCAGAAAGTGCTTGGCACAAGAGAATTGTTCCTTTGTGTGCAGCACCCAAGTCCAGTAACTAAAACTTTTGCCTTCGATGAGAGAGGACTTCCTGTCGAAGCCGGTGGCTTTGTCTTTTGGGAGCAGAGATCGAATGGATGCTTTTGCAGTGCTTGTTTTGTGTGTTCTCTGCCAACAGTAGTAGTGTCAGGATTGACACAGGATCAGGACTGCTTCTCCTACCAGTACATTTGCCATATGGCAGAAGGTGCTGGTGATACGGACTCATTTCTGAAGGAAGCTGGAGATGTTGAGGACTGTCCCTAGGGAACCTTTTTTGAGTGAACAGACACTGCCCAATTTTATATTGTGGTTTTTTACTTGATAAAAGCAATGGCATTTGAAAAGAGAAGACAAAGGCAACAGAAGCCAGTGCCCCTTTAATTCTGTGACCTGCAAAGTAATGCACTGGGGAGCTCTCTTCCTTCTGTGCACTGCAATTAATACATAAAATGTGTATTCCTAGAAGCTAATTTGCATCTCTGAAATACCAGTCTGAGCTCTTCCTTGACACAAAAATCTCTGTGATGCAGTTGCTTCCCAGTTGTCTCAGCTTGGATTATGAGTGCTGGACAAGCTACCCCTGCCTGGCAGCCTTATGCTGCAAATGACAGCTACCAGAGGGTTTGGCTTTGGCTACACTAGGACAACTTGGGGGTTTTGATCTGACCAAGCATGGCAGCAAATGCTGCTGTTCCTGAGGTGTGCCAGCATCTTAGGTGGGTGAGGTGAATGCAGTGCAGAGAGCATCCTGCTTGTAGTGAAATAGATGAGACCCAGGAACACAAGGATTTTGCAGGTAGCAGTGAACACTGCAGCATCTGAGGCCCTATGCAGATACACAGGAGCTTACTGTCTGTGCTGACAGAGCCTCCAAGTAAGAGCCTCTAGGGATAGAGGATTAAAGCTTTGGGAGCGAACTCTCCTCTCATTCTAGTCCTCTTCCAAGAGTGTCACAGAGCCAGGAGGGTGCCCTGCTGAGTGCAGGCACTGCACTCACTGCTGCTGGGAGCAATGAAGCTACAACAAAGTGGGGTGGCTCTGCTGGGCATAGCCATGGGGCTGCTAGTACTTGGCTTCTAAGGCATTTTGTCTTTGCAGAGCTTCCTGAGAGCTGGGCTGATATGCAGGAGCCACTGCTTGAGGGGATGTGCTTCACGCTCAAGTATCTAGGCATGACACTGGTAGAAAAACCCAAGGGAGAAGACATGGCTGCTGCTGCCATTCGCAGGATCGTGGCCACAGTGAGAGATGACCCTGGGGCCCTGCTGTGCTGGGGTGGAGAAAAGCCAGTTCAGAGCCCAGCCCATGGACTTTGGGAAGCATCCATGTCCCAGCTCTGAACCCCAGTGAGGGATGGAGCTGTTCCCAGGAGGAGGGTGATGTGCAGGAGACTGGCTGGTCTCTGGCTTTGTGCTGTGAGGGGAGCTGTTTTCCTGCTTCCACACCTGGAACATGGCAAGGAGCTGAGCTGTGCCTGTCACAGCATGGGGAGGAGGGTGAAGTGGTGGGGGCTATCCTTTCCCATATGCATGGCGGTAGTGTGAATGAATTCCAGGGGCATTTTATGCAGGCTGTGCCTGATCTCCAGGCTCTGCTTTTCCATCCCTGCAGCAGGAGCCTTTGCAGCAAGGGTCCAAGTGGATGTCAGCCCATACAGAGTCTGGGGGGCTCCTGACAGCAAGGGCAGGGGTGAAGATCCTTGCCAGATTAGCAGAGGTGTCTGGTGTCTCCCTACTCCCAGGCACGGGCGGGCGCTCGCAAGTTCCAGAAGGTGATTCTGACAGTGTCTCCGAGGGGCATCTCGCTGCAGGATGCAGACACAAAGGAGATGGTTGAGAACATCTCCATCTACAGGTGGGCATGGCATGTGGAAGGCTTGGGTATTCCCCAGCAGCCAGCGGGGAGACTTACGTGGTCTTGAGCAGCCAGGGAGGGATGGGCCTTGTGTCAGTGGGCCCTTCAAGCTCCTTTGGCTCCCTGAGGCCCGTGCCCTCTCCCTGCTGAGCCTCACAGCACTGCCTAGGGCTGAACACAGGCTGGGTCCTTGTCAACCTTGACTTCTGGCCTCCAATCATGTCCTTGGAGGCAATCACCCACCTTTCTGTGCTTATTTTGTCTCAGTGTTTGAGTTCATACACTGGGTTGAACTGGGCATCAGAGGAGCACACTGGGCAGCACAGGAGGGGAATGCCTGTGAATGCAGCAATCTCTTACTAGCTGTAGGTGCCAGGCAGCCTCTGGACCTTGCTGGGCACATGGGCTGTCTGATCATTTGGGGCAGATGAAAGTCTCAGGCTGTTGGCACTGTTTGTTGGGCTGGCAGCACAGCAGGCCTGTGCTGGGGTCCCTTATTACCCTGAACAGCTCCTCTCTGTTTGCAGGATCTCCTACTGCACAACAGACAAGCTGCAGAACAAAGTCTTTGCTTATGTTGCCCAGAGCCAGGAGAGCGGGGCACTGGAGTGCCATGCCTTCCTCTCACCCAAGAAGAAGATTGTAAGTAGTTCCCTTCTGTTCTTGGCTTTATGAGGTAAGGGTGGGACCAAGGTCCTTACTTGCCTCCCTTCAGAGAGAAAAGGTCCTTACTGCTGTGCACCTCATCTGGAAAAGGAGCCAGGGAGCATGTGTGCTCACATGCTGCAGAGGCAGGTAGTGAGTGAAAGGAGGTTCTTCTGTTGCAGCTCCTCTGGGATCCCCTCTTGGGAGTGGCTGGGCCACATGCAGACAGACACAGCATTGAGCTCTGGCCTTCTGTGTGTGTGCTCTGCAGAGAAGGGCAGCGAGGGAGGCCTGGGGGCTCACATTTCATTGTAGTGGGGTTATCTTGGCTTGAGGGCCCAGACGGAAGCAGACGTTCCCTCTCTTTCTTATACACAGGCTCAGGCTGTGACTCTGACTGTGGCCCAGGCCTTCCAGATGGCACTGGATCTCTGGGAAGCAGCACATGCAGGTAGGAGGAATTTCTCAAACACATCTCTCTGCCTAACCCTGGGATCAGGATCTCCGGTGTGGGACCCTGTCCTGGGCTGTATGGAGGAGAGAGAGCTCACTGCCTGGCTGCTGTAACACACCAAGCAGGGAGACTGTTGCCCCTGCTGTTGTGTTCTCTGCCTCTGCCCCACATGGGGAGCCTACCCTGTCTTTGGCTGGGGTGGGGTTGGGGGCATCCCTGCTATCCATGCTGAGCTCTTCTGCATTGCTGAGCTTTAGCACAGCTCAAGGCTGTGTGGTACCTGCCCTGAGCAGTTGATCCTGCACCCTTGTTTGCGCTCTCCTCTGAGCACAGCAGGGGCATCTATCCCTTGCCCACAGTGCTGCCTGTGCATCCCTTGCTGGGCCTTCTTCAGGTTGCAGGCACTAACTCTGCTGCTTTTGCCCTGTCCCAGGCTCTAGGCAGGAACAGCCCCTTCACCCTTCATGTGTCTTGGAGAGCAGTGAGCCCAGCAGACCAAGTGAGCCAGCCCCCCCGGGGAGCCCTCCCTTCAGACACCAGTTTGGGGTACAGTATGTGCAAGTCTGGCTCATGTCCAGGGCTGTCTCACATTAGGGCAGGGAAAGAGTAACCCTTACACATCTCCCTCCTGGCCTTCCAGGACCCTGCTGATGTCTGCACAGCCTCCCTCACACATGTTGGCCTAACATGAAGAAGGGCACTATGCTCTGTCTCACGAAGCAGGCACAATTCCTCAGGTGGTCTTTGTTCCAGGAGCTTTCCTGACATACCCATCATTGCTGCAGCCCTCAGCTCTGCTCTGTTGGCACTGTCAAACAGCAAACCAGGATCTGCTCTACACATGGTGCCATGGCTAGGGGTGAAACACTGTCTCTGAAGGTCAGTCCTGCCCATCTGCACTACACCTACTGCATGTCCAGAGCCAGTCAGAGCATTGCCAGTGTTTCCGGGCTCACTGTGTCCCTGCCCAGGAGCTTCTGGACCTTTAGTCTTTGGCCTCATGCTTCCAGTGCTGGCCCAGCCTGGCAGTGCTTGGGATTATACTTGCTTACAGCCTGGGTGATCCTCTGCCTGGCCCTCCAGCAGCAAGATGTGCTCACCCCACTACTATCTGGGCAAAGGTGCCCTTTATCTGTGCCATGCCTGATGGGTGACTGTGGCTTGTGAAGGGGCCAGGGACTGGTCTGCTGTTCCAGAACAGGCTCTGGGTAGACCAGCCTCAATCCTAGCAGCTACTTGCCCAGGTAGTGAGGTGTCAAGGTGGGTTTTTTGGTTTGTTTACCAGGAGGAGGAAGAGGAGGAAGAAGATGATAACATCGTTGAAACTTTATCTGGGTAGGTGGTGAGCTGTTGCTCTCTGATGAACCCTGTCTTGTTTCCTTCTCTGTGCCCCATGCAGGGGGAGCTGCTGGGGCCGTGGGCATGGGAGCACAGAGGAAATCTGCATGGGGGCAGTGGGGAGCTTCTTGCTGCTTTCTCTGCCTTTGTCAGCTGAGAGGTTGAATGAACAGGGAGTTGAGCTGTGGAGGGGCAGATCTTGCAGTTCAGCTTTCGCAGTGGAGCTGTGGGGGATAGATGCTGACCCTCAGGAAATGTACCCAGAAATGTTACTTGTTTTGTCTCTGCCATTCTTTGCTGAGGCCAGCCTATGAGACACACACTCTGGTGGGTCTCAGAATTGTCTCTCTCCTTCCACTGATTTCCCTGGGGTTTGGGCGGGGATGGAGGCCTGGTCGTGCTCCTTCTGTATGGACTAGGGCCTGGGGCTGAGCTTGCTGGTGCCTGTACTGTATTTGGAGGGAGCTGGTGGTACCAGTCCAACAGTGGAGGATTAACCTGTCAGTCCAGGCAACCTGATCTAGTTGAAGATGTCCCTGCATATTGCAAGGGGGGTTGGACTAGATGACCTTTGAAGGTCCCTTCCAACCCAAATTATTCTGTGTGATTCTGTCCTTGCAGAAGTGCATGTGGTGGTGGGTGCAAGAGGCCCGTTCCACTGTGGCTGTTTTCTGTAGCACCACAGGGCTGAGCCCAGGCTGAGCTGGTGTCAGCCAGGAACCAGTGTGTGCACCGATTAAGCTTTGTATGTGGCCCTATGAAGTGGCAGCCCTTTGTATGTGGGAGCTGCTGGTGGGAAAGAGATGTGGCTTTTTATCTCGGGACAGGCTGGCCTGGCAAAAGGGTTTGGTAGCAAGTAGGTGCTAGGAGCACCTTCTGTGCTCCGAGTGCCTGGTACTCCTGCACCATGGCTGTGTTGTCAGTGTCATGAGCATGCTGTGTCTCTCAGCAGGTGTTGCTTGGGGTATAATGGGTGCTCTCTCCTCTTCTAAAGCAGCATGGAGGAGCTGGGGAGGGGAGCCCACTGCCAAGCAGGTAAGTTCCTTCCTTCAGTGCTGCTTTGCCACATCCCCCAGCATGGCCTCTGCAGGGGTAGAGGGCTGGTGGCTCACCTGGGAAGATCTGCTTCTGCTCCCAGGCTGTGCTGGGTTCCCGACCACACACTTCGTGGACCACATCTTCCTCCCTCTTGCTTTTCAGAGTCAGCACCTCCTGTGCCCAGAGTGAGCTCTCCTACTGCACAGCTACTGTGCTATCGTTTGGGGCAACCCCCAGACAGCTGGAAGGAGCTGGCGGTGGCTAGAGACCCCCACACAGGTGGCCCCAGGACTGCTGGCCCCAAAACTCCCCTGGGCTAAGCCAGATCTCTGCAACCATGGACCAGCCACTCAGGATTCACCCTGTGCCTGCTTCTGGGCCAGACAGTGCCTGCTCCTGCCACTGCCCACCAGGCGTGGGGTCTGCTGGCACCGTTGCCATGCAGTGCACAGACTGTGACACCCGCTCCTTGTCCTGCTTTCTGCCTGCATGAACTGCCTCAAGCTGCAGCTGTTCCCAGCTCGGGCTGGTGCCTGCTTCCAGTGCATGCAGAGCCACCCCAAGTGCTCTGAGCTTGCAGGATGCAGCCAGTGTGCCTCGGATTGCACTGTGTCTGACCTGCCTTGCTTGTTTCTTCCACCTTTCTCCTCGTGGTGGCAGCTGGGGACCAGTTGAAGCTGTGCAGCCCCCCTGGAGATGGTGGAGGACTTGCTTAGCATGCGTGACCCTCAGGGAGCAATAGTTCTTGGCCTGGAGGAGTGAGGGAGGCCTTGCCCCTGCCGATCAGCCCCACACCTTCTCACGAGTGAAAATGAGCTGGTTTTTAAAGGAAAGCTATGCCCTTACAGGGAAATAAAATGATTTTTTTTACTGTTGTCATTTGGGTTTGAGTGCTGGATGGGGTGCCACGCACCAGTGTGCCAAGGTACTGTGTGCCTGCTGTGCTGCCTGGCCCGTTCCCTGAGCTCATGGGAGCCTGCAACTGCTCTGGACCTCCCATGTCTTCCTGTCTTCCTCTGCTGCTGGCCCTGAAGGAGTGGGTTTGTCTGTGTGGAAGGCTGCTGGGGCCCAGGGTGTTCTTTATCTTGGGGGAAGCTGGTCCAGGCTGTGCTGGAGTGGTGCATCTTGAGAACCCATGAGTGTCGTCTCCACTGAAGAGCGCTGACAGCTAATGATGCTGAGGCAGAGAGGACACAAGCCTCCAGTGTGCCAACTGGTCTCAACCTCTCCCCCTCATTTGTCTGCTCTACTCTGGGATGCCTTTGCTCTGCTGCACACCTGGCTGTGGTCTGGACACATGGGCAAGCCATGCACTTGGTTTCCTTCCCCAGATAGAGGAGGAGATGCCTATCTCAGCAGGACGTCTGGTTTCTCCAGCGAGTTAACAGTTTGCAGCTGCCTTCTGTCTGAGGAGCTTGCTGCTGGGCTCCTGTATCATTGCAGCACATCTCCCCTTCTAAGGCTGGTGACCCTGCCAGCCCCAGCTGAGCGGCCCTTGTTATGTGCACCGTGGGGTGGCAGAGCTGGTCCCCCAGCAGCTGCAGTAGGCAGGTGCTTGGGAAAGGCTTTCACTCTGGGATCCTTGGGTCCCTGCAGGTCAGCCAAGAGCTGCACACTGGTGTTCTCGCTTGTGGTTTTGCATGTTGAAATGTGGGATTGTGCCTTTCCTCCCACAGCTGACTGCACAGAGCAACCTGGAGATACTATTGGGATTATTAGGGTGAGCAGGCCATTGTCAAGTCCTCAGCTTCCGGCACAGAGGGATGGCTGACCTGTTGGTGGTGTGGGTTTAACAGTCCTTGATGCGGCTTCCTGCCCTGCACTGAAGCAGGACGCTTGGCATCCATGCTGACTTGCAGCTGAGTGCTCCAGGTAGTGCTGAGGGGTAGGCAACACTGCTGCTAATGCTGGCACATGCTCATGGTTTCATTTGCTCTTTGCTCTTGTTCTGAGAATGACTTCACCATCTCCTTACCACTGAGGAGGACTGTGGTCTCTACCTTGCTCCCTGGTTGCTGTCCCATCTCTAGACAAGCATTCCAAACAGTTTGACAGCCTCTCCGTGGGACTTACGGTTGCTGAGGAGTGCTCTTTGCTGTGACTATGCTCAACAGCCCTGTATAGCTTCTTGCAGAACTTCTTGGTGCCAGTTCTGCTGTTATTCTGCTGGCTTTAACCAGCTGTTGCTGTAGTCAGTGAAGTGCTCCCTGAGACACAATCTCAGCCTTGTGTGTTGAGAACCTTTGCTAAGTCTGTTTTAGTCATGTCCAAGCTAGCAATGAGTTCACCATCACTCACACATGCTAGCACTGTCCAATATCTCTTAAATTGGTGTGCTAGAATTGCTCCACGAGCCACACATCCTTTTCCTTGTGCCACTGTGGTGCTGTTGCTGCAGGGTGGGTGGGATGCGTGGCTGGATGTACGTGCATGTCCTGCTCTGCCCTGGCACTGTTCCGTGCTGATGCTGCCAGACCCATTTGCAGGGTGTCTGCTTGTAGGTGCCCCATAAAAGTACCTTTGCCCAACCCTGGTGCTGCCTTTCGTGTGCAGCACTCATCTCTGCAGTTCTCTGCCTTCCTGCACTGCCATCGTCTGGGAAGAGACTGGGGGCTTGGGGTTCTCTGTGTGTGTGTGTGTGTGTGTGTCCTTTGTGCCTCAACACTGCATCCAGTTTTACACATAACAGGCTTTGTATGTGGCCACAATGACTGCATTTTGTCAGGTATGTTTTTGGTGCCTCTCCCAGCTCCTTGACTCTGCTGCAGTTGTGCTCCTTTATTTCTTTGTGTGCCCCTGGTCTGGTTGAAGACCTCATGACAGTAGGTATGTGTCTTCCCTGACCCTCCAGGGCAGCACCTCTATATGTTTTCCAGGGCACCAGAGCTTTTCAAAAACTCTGGTAGTTCTCTGACAGCCCTATATGTTTTTAAAATACCTTCCTAAAGCTTAAAGTTAGCTGGCTAAACGAGGTGCTTTGTGTCCCTGGCACTGCGGCCATGCTCCTGGCAGCCCAAGTTACAACACAGAAACACTTGCACCCCACCACCATGGTGCTTTTTACTGCTCAGGTACCCCTCTCCTCCCCGTACCACAGAGCAGCACAGACCCTCCCACCTGCAGCCTCCTGGGAGCTGGCCTTCTCCTCCTTCCCGGCCCTGCTGCCAGGGTGCCTCTGCTCTCCACAGCCTGTTTTGTTGGTGCAGAGAAAGCAGCTGTAATGCCATCCTCAGTGGGACAGCACTGGCCTGCCCTTGAGGGTCAGAGGTGTGCAAGACAACCTTAGAGGACCTGCAGCTCTTGCACAGTGCACACAAACAGGTCTCCTCATAAGAGCCATACACACGTGTTCAACAAGTGCTGATACATGTACCCATGCATGCACACACACAAACCTGCAACTCCACAGGAACAATGCTGCCTTTGAGCCAGGATGCTTTTATTGAAAAGACCCTGCCACAGGGAATCATTTATCCTGCCCCATCCCCACCTAGCCCTGCAGCAGGAGCTGAGCAGCACCTGGAAGTAAGAGTCCTGAAAGTGCTTTACTGGGAAGTTTATTCCTGGAAGACGATGGATCCTGTGATGCTTGAGTTCAGGGCTGCAGAGCCAGTACCCAGCTCAGTGACAGCCTGCAGAGCAGAGCACGGAGGGAGAGCAGTAGCCAGGGCACTAGTTGCCATCTCTGCAGCAAAGAACCTCCAGGTATCACCCTGTTCCCTCCTACCACCAGTAGAAAGGGCTTGCCTGGGCTCAGCCTCAGCTGTGAACAGAGCAGTGCTAATACCCAGTGAAAGACTTCTGCCTGTAGGCTCTGGGGAGCAAACAAGCACAGTCCAAGCATCACCTCTTCACCAGCCCCAGTGTGGTTGATGGCTCCTGTTGCCCTCCTATGCGCACATGACAACAAGCCAGCAGTCCACCAGCTCTGGGCATTCAGGGGCAGCCCTATCCAACAGGACTGTGTTACATCAGCCAACCTGGTACAAGCCACTGGTCCAGCTTCAGGAGTGGAAGCATCAGCAGTGACCATACCATACCCCTTATGACACAGGAGGAGCCAGGAGTGGGATATGATACTGTTGAAACTAGCATTATCTCCGGAGCAGTGGTGAGCTCTGCAGCACACATCACATCCTGCTGAGACCTTGCCTGACCTAACCACCTTATCTCCTCCAGGCAGCACAGGCACTGCACTGCCCCAAGGGTGCACAGCAGCTCCCCCACAAACAGCTTGAATGTGTCAGGACTGAGCCCTAGCTGAGAAATGGCAAAGCCACAGCCATGCCCTGGAACTGCCTGCTCCCATAGCTCTATGGACATAGTCACACCACCCCACAGAATGGCTGTGCGTTCCCTGCCCTTGGCTGCACACTTCGCAGGCCAGCCAGGCACTGTGGCAGCACTAGCTCCTCGTGCTTTTTTGTGTCTTTATCCCCTGCAGCAGGGAGAGGCCTTGAAGCCCCTGCATGGCAATGATGGAGTGCAGTGGAGCCCCACTCTCCAGCAGGGATCCATTCTTCAGCTGTGCTTGCTGGGCCCAGCCCTGCAGATAACCCTGCCACCTCCTGAACATGACTCCCCTGCCAGCACCGGGGCAAATGCCTGCATTGCCCCAGCCCCTCAGTCTCAGGGCCAAAAGGGTAGCCCCCCGAGCCCAGACACAGGAGCTGAGAGCATGGCCTGCTCCATGCTGCCTGCCTGGAAGGTGCCCAGTGCCACAGGGCTGCACCCATGCCTTTGGCCAAGCCAGCACGCAGGGACACTGCCTCTCCTCAAGCTGCGCTCCAGCCCCTCTGCTCCCCTTGGCTTGCCCCTCCAAGGCTGCTGGTGTGGCCCCCAACCCTTTCTCCACTCGGCGCTCCGCAGCGGCAGGGCAGCGGGGCCAGGCGCGCGGGATGGGCATGGGCACACACTGCATGCACGGCTGGGAGCCGGCTCCATGCGCGTCCCTGCACGGGCGCCGTCGGGAAAGCGTAAGTTCTGATACGCGGATCTTCTTCGCATGCAGAGTTCCAGGCTGGGCGCCCGGTGCTGCCTCTTCTTCCAAGGCCTGCTTTGGCTCTGGCAGGATGCCCAGGACCCCAGACGCAGAGCTGGTGCTGCACCTACACCTCGATTATATTGACCGAGGGAGACTTCTTCTATGAGAGAAAAACCTGCTTTAAGGCTCCGCTTTGCTAAGTGCCTGGGATGCAGAGCCCACGGCAGAGCCCCCAGCTCCCACAGCAGGCATCAAGACCAGCACACCTCCTCTACTAAAGGGCTGCCAGCTGCTGCTGAGCCCTCTGCCCTGAGCTTCCCATGGATAACTTGTGTGGTGATGCTCCAGAGCAGGCCCCAGTGAAGGCAGAAAGCGAGCAGGGACAGACCAGTGCACGAACCATAACAACAGCTGCCCAGCTGCTGTAACCCCCTCCTGCCTGAACCTGCCTATGGGATGCAGAAAAGGTGCAGCTTTGGAAGGGCATGGTGAAGGGGCTGTTACAGTGAGAGGGCAGGTATCACCCTGCAAATGTGGGAGCTGGGATTATCCTGCCATCTCTTCCAGTGTCTCTCCTGCAATCACCCATGGAGCACACACACACTACTCCAGAGGGACCAGGGCTCACTGCACTCTAAACCCCTTCAGTTTTTAGGGTGAGAGCATGAGCTGGAGAGAGCCAGAACCTGCTCAGGCAGAAAGCCACAGCAGACACCATATGCTGTCCTTCCTGCCAGCCCTTCCCTCACCTTGCTCCGCAGCAGCCCTCCGCTCGGTCGCTCTGGTGTGCTGTGCTCTGAGGATGGCTTTGTCTTTTCCTTGTTGTTGTTGGAGTCGTTGTCCTTGATGATGTCGTACTGTCTGCAGAAGAGGGCGATCACCGCTGCCAAA